CAAGGAACATTTTATAAATCCCCAAAAGAACTTCTAAATATATTTATTTCACAGTGATATATGATTCATAGACATTACATAATAAATATGAATTTCTATTTATTGACTGTGCAGTGAATTTTTGTGTACCTAAAAATGCTAAGAGAGCATCTTAGAAGTATACGATTCAAACAGCCACTTGAAACTAAAGGAGAAATTCATTATACTGAGGCTTTTGACATACTAAAAGCAGTGGACAGAGTAAAATTCGTAATTTTTTTATACTGGCTTGGATGTGTTCAAAATGATCACAGAATACACTAACTTCCGATGATTCAAGAAGGATTAAAAGAGGTATTTATTAAGAGTTCTTAATATAATGTAGATTCTGTTCATAACATCATAACATATATAAGAACATACCTTTTAATCAAATATTTTAAATGTTTTTTTGTTTGCAATGGTATCTCCAGGTGGCACAACCTCAAATACAACGTTTTTAGCTCGCCTCAGCGAAGTTAGGGGAAGTATGTAATACCGTCTGTGTTGGTGTCCCAGGTTAAAGTTTTTGGTGCAGGTTATTTTCCTTTTAAGTACTTCTATGCCCGACATGAGTCATATTTGCATGAAAGATGCTTCTAGCATGTTTCATTGTACCAGCCAAGGTTTCAGATGCTACAATTTCAGTAAAAGGAATGCTTTTAGAGCAGTAAAGACTTTGGTGCAGGTTAATTCTTTGGACAGGTCTCATTTCCAAGTAACTATAATCCCTATGTTGACCAAACTTCACTGGATGTTACATCTAAGGAAGATACTACCAAGCTTGCTTCAGATGCTGAATCTGACCTACATTTCCTCGTTGGGTGAACAGGTTAATGTTTTTGGTGCAGGTCTTATTTCCTAATAATTATAATCTCTATGTTGACCAAACTTCATTGAATGATACATCTAAGGAAGATACTACCAAGCTTGCTTCAGATGCTGAATCTGACCTACATTTTCAAGTTGAGTAAACAGGTTAAAGATCCCATTTTCAAGTAACTATAAGCCATATGTTGACCAAACTTGCATGGATGATACATCTAAGGATGTGTTATGCTAGGCGTGCGTCAGATGCTTAATGTTACCTACATTTTTCGGTTGAGTGAACAGGCTATTTTTTTGGCGCAGGTCCATTTTCCAAGTTACCATGAACCCTTTGTTGACCAAACTTGCATGGATGACACATCTTAGAATGTTAACTACAAAGTTTGTTTCAGATGCTAGATTTGACCTGCATTAATTTTCTGGATGAGTGAACAGGTTAAACTTTTGGGTGCATGCCTATTTCTTAAAATTTGTAAGGCCAATGTGAACTAAACCTGCTTCAGATGCAGGATTTGAAATACAATTTCTGGACGAGATTCTTATAAATAACGCTTTTGGATAAGTATATTCCCAGGTAACTGTGCGCCCTATCATTTCAAAATTGAAGAAATGTTGCTTCTTTGGGTGTACACCACTAGATTTTTAGTTTAATAAGGGACTCTGCCTTATTTAAGACAACTTTCATTGAAGTGAGCTCTGTAATCTCTGATTACCTTTGTTTTACTACAAGCATGTATCTTTAAAAAATGATTTGAGCATTTGTCATCATAAGATCCCATTTGATACAGGGTGTTTCACAACATATGTCACACATCTAAATGGGCATAATCTGACTATTGAGCATGATAACAAAAATACCAAAACACTATAGGAAAGCAAATAGATCTAAAATTATAATATTGCATAGTATTGAGGAAATTATAATATACCATGAAGTAACTGATGATATAATCAGTGACCTCATAATGTCAGCTTTTCTCAAAATGGAGAACAACTTGCAGCAAAAGTTGGTCGTAAACTTTAATTATAAGAACGATATCCTGAATATTGTACAGGGTGTGATGATGAAAAATATTCAGACCACAAATTCTTGTCTAGTTTTCATATATTAAGAATAATAAGAGAGTTTGAACTAAATTTTAATGTTAAGATAAAAGACAGCTAAATCCTGCCCCCCCCCCCCCCCAAAAAAAAAAGAAGAGATGAGAACAATATTAAAGTGAAATCAATCATTGAGAAAACCTCATGAAAGTTAGATCTGAGATTTTGATAATGGATTGTAGCAATGCCGGTTAGTGCATCAAGTGTATTCAGAAATCTTAAATTTGAGTTGTTTGTCTGTATGCAAGATTTCAGCATATAAAGTCAGTTGACTTTCAGGGCTCGTTCAAGTTTGCAAGACTGATGAAAGGAAGAGCGAAAGAACTGGGCACTAATTAGCGCATGCCGGTAGTTCTGAAACGACACATTTATTTATATGCAACTTTGATTAAAAAAAAGATATGTATTTTGAGGGTTCTAAAAAGTCATATATATAAAACAAGAAAATTCTCAAGTATCCTGTGAAACTTACAAAACAGTGGTCAGAAATTTCCAAGCATTAGTCTCATAAGTTATTTACGATGTAATGTTGGAAACACTTGGAAAATAACATTTTAGGATTTGTTGCCATAGTAACTGAAGTGGAGAATGTTGGGTACTATTGACCCCCCCCCATTTTTTTTTTAATTAATGCTGATTAAAATGATATATAAAATGTATATGTAGCTTTAGTTGTCATTTATCTATCTGTCTTTAGATGTGTGACATATATTGTGAAACACCCTGTACATGTAATGCATGTAGTTTCTTTAAAAAGATATTTGTTAAGACCTTTTATATAAGAAGAACTTTGACCTCAACTACTTTTTTTGTTTTTCAGAAAATGTGTTTTTCATCATGGTGTACAATGTACACGTCACACGATTTGAAATCCAGAAATCCATTCTGATTTGAAACCTACAGCAAAAACACCACATCCTGTGGACGATATCCTGACAGATCTTTTTTCTTTAAGAATCATTTGATGCCTAAATTAATGCCCATTTTACAGGACCTGCAATTCATAAAAAAAAATAAGAAACAAGATGTGTTTGTGAAACATTATGCGCCCGGTGGCAACAAAGTTAAAAAAAGCTATTTTATCATGTAGGTCACAGTCAATGTCACAAGGTCATTGACCTTGGTGCAATTTGAAAGAACCTAATTAGTGGAGTCTACATACAAAATACAGTGTATAAAGTCTCTATCTCCTATTATTCAAAAGTTATGGCGAAAGTTGAAAAAGACTTTTTTAGCATATAGGCCAGAATGTCATCTACCTTGGTGCCATCTAAAAAACTTAATTAGTGGAGTTTAGATACCAAATATGAAGTCCCTATCTTTAATAATTCAAAACTTATTGGGAAAGTTCGAACAAGCTATTTTCAGCATATACATGTAGGTCTCAGTCAATCATTGTTCAAAAGTTATGGTGATGGTTAAAGTTGACAACAGACAGACAAACAGAGAAACAGATAGGACAAACGCGATATACGCCTTGAATCTATCTCTCCGGGCGCATAATTATACAACTTTATTTCATAGGTTAAATCAATATGAGAACTGAGCAGATATATGTGAGTAATAATTAGAAATTATTGGCAATTTGCTACATGTCAATAATTATACATTTCAACACCAATTATGCGAAATATAATCTAGGAGATTTTTATTGTGAGTTTTTGAATAAGTTTAACACAATTTCTTTTTGCCTGTAAAATAATTACTTCGATTGCACCGACAACAGGCAAATGGACATAATTCTACAAGATCAATCTTTGCATAAAAAATTGCCAGGAATACTCAAGTTCGTAATGCATGGAATACCATTCTTTTTTCCTGCAATTTATTTTCTTCCAAATATTCTGCGAATAGTGATGTGCCAAATACTGAAAATTTTATTTGCAAAAACCGTGGATTTTTTAGAGAGTAAATTTTAACTAATATAAAAATCCAATATTCAAAAGAAAAAGAAACACATATTTATGACGTGAAATGTCAAATTAAAACCTTTTGACTAATAAGTCAATATATATGACATTCTAAATTGCACATTTCTTTTAATTATCTGTATATTATGTTAATATATATTTATTTATAAAATTTCATGAAGTAGCTGTTAATATTTTGGGGGGGGATTACTGTGTATGTTCTTGCAATAATTAAAAAACATTCTGATTTTGTACTTTTAAGTGAAATTGGTAAAATGGAATAGAATATAATTTATTAAGATAGCAGATATTATAGAATTATATTCAAGGTCTAACTGTTTGATATTTGGCTTCATGATGTGATCAATCGATTTTCCTGCGTGATAATTTGCATAAAGTTCCTAGACTTTTATGCATAAAATGATCACGCAAGCCAATCGATTGACCGTTGCCATTGAACCAAAAAATCTGACAGTTTTTCCCCACATTTACATGTTCTTGTTTCCGCAGGTTCACGTGCTGAAAGCCCTGAATCTAGCCCCGGAAGTCATTTTATTATCAATAACCCAGTAGAGTTATTTAGAAATAGAATAATTTTACTATTTGTAATTTTATCTTGGACAAAGATATTAGAAATGTTGATTTAAATTGATAAAGACTGTTTGATATATTGCTGAACAAGAGATTTAGTATAAAGGTCCTTAACAGTTGAGATGAAGATTCTGCAAGAATAAGGAGGATTAAGATTTAATAACGCAGTAAATACATTCATGATTTTCTAAATATATATTGTCTTACGATATTTTCAGTTTTAATGGATATTGTTCCGAAATGTAAAACATGTTAATCATTAAATAAGTATGGCAAACGTATTTTATAGATCTGTGTGATCAATGCATAGGAATGACGATAGGTGTAACTTATCAAAAGGGGATACATGTACTCGCTTCTTTTGAGCACTGGGCCCTGGACCCTTAATAAATGCTATGTTCATTGATTTGCCTATGGGTTCTTTCAAGAACCATACTTGACATTTTTAAGAGCCATAGTTTTTTATCGTCATCTTTATCTTACTCTCATCGGAAGAAAAATCCAGTTATTGAAGAGAAAATCATTTTTAAATGTTCGATTTACTTTATTTATGTCATAAAAGTGGTTGTAGAACAATTATTTACGTGGGAGGAATGAAAAAAAAATCTGTGATTCACCATCAATGTAATTGAACATAATGTGAAGATTTTCTTATTTGACCAATTTCCTGATATTCAGTATTTTCATATTTCTCACTGACATCTGTAATTTGACACATATCAAAATGTCCCCTATTTAACTCCATATTCTCATAGACCGCCGTGTTTCTTTTTTCATTTTCCGTGGGAAATTGTATAGTTGTATTTCCTAGACATTTCAGTTGTTTCTTCTTTCTCCTACAAAAAAAAAAAATAAAAAAATAAAAATAAAAAAAAAGTGGTATAAAGAGATAAATGGGATGTCATTAGTGTTGCTTCCTTTTTAACTTAATCAAAATATAATCATATCTTCAACTATCTGTGTCAAACATTTGGAAGTTTAAGATTTGAATGTAATAAGCAATTATCACATTCTAGTGTTTTTACAATGACTGAAAAATATCCCGATTACGATAGTCATGAGATCTTGTAAAAGGTGTGAAGTTGGCAGCTACACATTAATATTTGAATTAGCATTTTAATAATTAATTAAGTAGTCAAGTCTTACTATGTACAATCTCAATACAAAGACGGTTCTGATTTTAACACTTAGATATGCCGTGATAAATATCTAGTTCTAACATATTCACCTTCTGACCACAATAATAAATGCGACAATAAACACAATAAAAACGACAGTTGCCAACGCTCCTCCAATAAAAAAGTAAGTGTTTGTTTCCAGTACACCTGAAACACCAACCTGTAAAGAGTGATAATCCATAATCATAAAGCATTGAACAAATTCTGAGATAATGAAATCATTTACAAAAATACATGTAAACCACTTTTCTATACTTTCAAAGAAATTATCATATATGTTAATCTGAAATTGGCTAGGATTAGAGGTACTAAGCTCGCTAAATGAATCCTCTCGCCTCCCCCATAAAAATAATGGCAGTGTCCATGTTTTGCTATGTGAAACCCAAAATATGTCTCGGATCAAAAAGTAAAATAAAAGGTGCACAATGGCAATATGTAATAACGATTCTGTGAAAGTTTCATCAAATTTCATTCAGTGGTATGAGAGGCGTTGTGGATAAGATATTGGTACCCCAAAGCGTAACAGAGTACAGCTAGACAGACAGACGGACGGAGATAACGATTACTTTATACCCTCCCGCATTTCAAGCGGGGGTATAATACTGTATAGGGGGAAAATAACGAGCGGTGTTAGTATTCGCTATATTCACGGTGTTGATGAATCCGTGAATTCAAGAAACAGTGAATAAGTTTTCAATATGTATAGATAAGGGAGGAAACTTTTCTTACATACCAATTCCGCGAATTTAAGAAACCTCGACGATGTCAGAGAAGAGAAAAACGTGAAAATTACAACCCATGAAATTAATTAATCCAAAATAAAGTGGGGGATACCTTTATTTTACAATGTTAGAGAAAATTTATTCTAGAATTTTTACGAGAAAGCGTTTTGCATTTTATTTATATATGTAGAAAGGAAACAAAAGAACTAGAAAAAATCTTTCAGAGTTTGATTTTTTAAATTTAGATTTTAGTAATATATCCTTGAGTTTTGTTGTACACACTAGCTAAGAAGGGATAGCCTTTGCATATGAATTTAAAGCAGTCTATTTAAGGAATACAATTAAATTTAGCCTATATGTTATTCGCAGTAACATAATTCGGGGTAGTTAAAGCCTATGCGCGAGGCAGTTTATAAAAAAGCATAAACTGTCGCAAGTAATATTTTATAGCCTAAGTGTAACATGGGCTTCAATAAGCTTCACACCATATCATTTAATTTAAATGAAGAAAATAAGCCAACTTTTCCTCCAAAACGGCTTCGAATTGAGCATATGTTTTACAGTAATATCAAGCGGAGTAAGACATTTATGACGTAACTCGTAGTGACGATGGTAATTTACGATATAAAATGAATCATTTATCCAATCAATTAATTTGTTACAAGTATAATTAAATTACTCTCAATTAATTAGACTCACCAATGTACTTTCTCCCGTCGTGACATTACATGTTCTATTGAAACAGTCATCGCTGCATGTTGCATTGCATCTGTATTCATGAACCCCAAAAGAAGAATCTAAATAAACAAGAGATGTTTGTAAAAGACATATGCCCGCTCCCCCCAAATTGAATTTTTTAAAGTCCAATTGGGAATAACTCTGTCAAAATTGGTACAACCGTACCCAAAATCGAACTTGTCCTAGATATAGTCGTCTGATAAATTTGCATACTTAATCTCATTTCAGTTTGTACAACCTTTGCGAAGAAAATGCACGGAAACTGCAAATAATTGGATTTTTTCTAAGTCCAAGGGGCATAACTCTGACAAAAATGGCGCGACCGTACCCAAAACCGAACTTGACCTATATATTTATATATACACCTGTTTACCAATTTCTTTTCAGTATGTGCAATGGTTATGAAGAAAATGGACGGGAACTATGTGGACCCACAGACAGACCGACCGACAGACCAACAGACAACAGCAAAGCACTATGCCTTCCCTTCTTCGAAGGGGGGCATAACAAATGGCACACATATTTTTTTTTCAATTTCAAATGTGGAAAGTTGGAGTAAATGCCATATGATTAATTATAGTTTCACAGAGTAATAGCTATATTTTGTTTAATAGCTATGTACAGCTTATGTGTCTTGTTGTTTGTGTTTACCGTAATCAGTTGAAAAAATCGATTTTAACTTCGTATTCAGATCATTTAATGCAATATGAGGTGAATTTTTTCAAAGGTTTTTAAGCTGTTAAAATTTGTTATTATGATCAATTTGTATGTAACTTAAACCTTTAAGATCAATTAGACTATACTAAAACAGAGGAAAGACTTCTATATACAATCTACAATGCAGTTTTATATAGAAAATCATTATTTTACAGGACCACAAGAATATGATTTTGATTCAATCGAAGCTTATACATAGTTCTTCCATTGCAAATATAAACAGCAGAAGAAAATTTATTAGCATTATTTTTTGCTACAATTGAAATAGTTATCTGCAAAAAGTCTTTGACCTGACATGTCAGCCAGATAATGACCTACTACAAGCTAGCTCCACAAAGATCCATCTCTGAATTGTGTGTATTTATATATATATATATATAGTAAAAAAAAATATAATTATTTACATTTTTTTTAAATCGTTAATATCAAAACAGAAAAAAAAAACATAACGTTTTTGGTCTTTTTATAAAGTAAGTCAAATTAAAAACTTATAAAAACAAACAACAGTACCGTTTTTACTTTTGTCACATCTTGACCCTTCCCAACCATCCTTGCATCCGCCTTGACACTGTCCGGTCACTCTGTTACATCTACCAGAGACCCCACAGTTAACGCTACACGACTCCTGGCAATTGTAGCCAAAGTGTCCAATGGGGCATTCTAGAAAGCAAAAAAAAAAAAAAAAAAAAAAAAAGAAAGGGTAACTTATAAATACGATGAAGGGCAACCTTTTGAAGAACAAATATCACTGGATGTCTATGCAAATCGATCATTAAAATTATAAAAAAAAATGCATACACTGGATTTATAAATCCATGCATAGTCATTAGAATCGTTCATTAAATTGAATAAGGAAATGCTCGAAGACGAGAAAAACATGACTCCTTCAAGAAAATATTACTCCACAGAGGAATAAATTATGAAAACGAATTACATTCAAGCCTGAAATCCATGTTAACAATGGCAAAGGATGCTCAGTTCTCTATTGCACCATATCCCACACCTAATAGGTTGGGAGTCTGTGATTTTTCTGTACCTGTTTTGTATTGTTTATTGAACTTTTGAGCTTGAATACTGTTTGTTATCTCCCTATATTAAATGGGATAAAATGTCACGGAGGAGTAAAAATCAGTCAACAGTATACATTTATTGACTGAGTTCGAGGGCAACATGCGTTTTGTCGGACCCAAGAACAACCTCTCGGCATTGGCCGAAGGCAGACCGTTCGAGGGTCCGACAAAACGCATTTTGCCCGAGAACTCTGTCAATAAATGTTTTGTTTTACCTTTCATTTGATTTTATATTTTTTGACATAAATGTTTTTTTTATACTATATTCCGTAATGTAACATCAGGTCTGTCACTGTTTAACACCAACGAATGAAAATGAGATTAAGCTCCGCCCATTCTGTGACGTAAGCGGTCCAACATCTCACCGAGCGGTCCAACATCTCGCTCAGCGGTCCAACATCGATTTTTTAATGCCCGCTCAGCAAAACATTCAAAACGTTGGACTTTTTTTGTAGATTTGTATAGGGACAATTTTTTAAAGGTATAACAATTCAGCTTGTATCATTATAATACATGTAGTCAAAAATTTATACATATATCAAATAATATCATTTAAAATGCAATTCCTGACATTGAAATAGATACTTTACCTTGAGTACAAGTCTCTCCTCGAAACCCTATATCACATCCTTTTAAACACGATCCATTTATATGGTGGCATTGTTCAAAATTCAAACACCATCCGCAAGAAATAGTGCAGTCTGTACCGTAAAACCAACCATCACATTCTGCAAGATTTATTTAACCTTTACACATGGAAATGTGTATTTCTCATCACATTCTCAAGACTTATTAAACTTTTCATCTCGAACATAAAAATATACATTCATAAAATTACAATCGAGAACCAACGTGAAAATGTGAAAACGTACCGTCTTCACATTTTGAACCTTTGTATCCGACAATGCATCCAAGACAAGTCCCCTCCACAATGTTACATTGACCCTCAATGCAATTTTTTGGACATGGTAGGGTACAATTCTCCCCATAAACATCAGACATATTGCATCCTAGTATAAATATTGCATCAATTTAGCACAAACCATTAGTCACTTTATGTAGAAAAGTTTTTTTAGTCTTGTATGAATTGCTACCCCGACCAATTCCGCCTCCTAAATATTTATAATGTATTGTTAGATATTCATG